GGATCAAAATGAATATATAATTATTAATTATATTGTCGGAACTATTTGCTTACGACTAATGTTTTCATTTTTTGATTATTGACAGCATATTTTTCATTTATTACGTTCCACTTTTATGTCGCACATATGTTCCACATAGAACCAAAATGTGAAAAAAAACTATTTTTCGTATTTGTTGATCAAATCATTTTCGTAAAAGACAGTTATATTTTTTTTTTTTATTAAATTTATTTGTTATGTTAAATGGGTTTTTTAATATTTTCAACTATCGGTTATCATATGAAAATTACAAAAATGATTGTATTTAACAAAAATAGAAGGGTGAAGGTCCTTTTTCAAACTATTTTTGAATTAATATAATAATAACCCTCGACAACGTTATATAATATTTAAAAATTAATATTCAACTTATAGAAAATATATATATATATATAAATTTTATAAATATAAATAAAGAATTGACAGTTTTTTGTACAATTTAATGTTTTTATAATTAAAGTTATGATGTTTAAGTTTATATAACATTTTTATTTCAATAAATGGATATGTATTGGGTTTAAACTAACACTGCATATAAATATAATGTATTAGTATGTGTAATATAATGTTTACAATTACAATTACAATTTATTCCAATTTTATAACTTCAAACATCTTTATTAAATGAAGTTTATTTAAAATTTCTTTATTCTTTAAATAAATAGTTGATTTTAATTAAAAAAATACAAAAAATATGTATATATGATTATAAACTCTTAACACGTATGCATATAATATGCATATTTATATGTAATAACAATAAAACAGAAATGGCCTTTTCTTTAGTTAATAAACAATTTTGTTTTTACAAGTAAACTTATTTTTTTTTACTAATTTAAAATTAGTTACAAAGTAGTTAAATAAAAATGATTAGAACATAATATAAAAAAATAAATTGTTTAACATTTTACATAAATAAATAAATACTATCTCTTAAATTAATATATATATATATATATATATACATATATATATGTAACAAAAATTATTATAAGAATTTTTGGAAAAGACTATTTAGAGTAAAGTAAAAATTAATAAATAATACTGGATTAATAAATAATCTTTACAAAGTTATATTCATAATACAACTTGTTATTAATTGTAGACAAATAATATCAAAAATTAGCGAATGCATCAGCCATACAAATTAAAAGCTATAATTCTAAATGCATAATTTATGTCAGTATCAAATACCAACTATTGAGATCTGACTAACCTTTAAGAGGATACAATCACAACTAAGGAAAATTAAATGTAGATGGTACACCAAACATAGTATCACCATATTTTTCGTTTTTAAAAATATAGTTCTAAACCAACTTGAAGAGCTTGAGAGGCAGATATTGCGGACAACATATATGCTCATACAAATGACAAACGTGTTTTAGAAAATATGTTAAAATACCAATATAGAGGTTATAAAGTCTAGAAATATTGTGTGATATATAAAAACACACTGCTTGCAATAGTTGTGTCATATTAACAGAATATCTAACAGTAGTGTTGTTAAACAGGCATATTTACAGATCCTTTTTAAAAACAGGAGAAGAAGAGAACCGTGAAAAAATCAAAAACTGGTATGTAAAAAGTTTTAGAAATCGACTATCATGACTGTAACAATCAACGCACAATTAAGACATTTGAAAAAATGTTGCAGAATCAATAGCGCATCGGGAACTGTGAGCTAACGAATAGGATTTTTGATATATTTAAAATACTATAAACGAACTGTAACATTTTATAGTACCCAACGATGTAAAGAGTATAAAAAGCTTAAAAATGTCGAATCCCTCAAAAGAAAATGGTAGTGGCTTTGGATTCTAACTATATATATAACATCTTCCATAACTATGTTAAATTGGAAAAGTTATTAAATTTAAGTTCAATAAATTTATCTTTCACCTGTACTTTTCTAATAATATAAGCAGAATTCTTATATGAATGAAAGTTATTTTTATTTTATTTAAAAAAACATATGATAGGTATAATATTTATAAGTGTGCTTCGACACTGCACATACCTATACATTAATATATTGGTACTGTATATTGAGACACGATTATATATCTTTAATTCTGCAATTTGACAGTGAATTTGTTTAAAGATAGCCATTCTGACAATATTTTTTACTGCGATGTCGATATAACTTCGATCTGTAAATATCAAGCATTATATATTTTTTTAAGGTACTTTTTATGTATATTTTATGTATATTATATTATGTGTACTTAAAAGATTATTTCTATTAGCCTTAAGACCTACAACCTGATAGCGCGTATCAGAAAATTAAAAAACATTCAATAAGACCATAATACCACCGAGTTGTAAGAAGTTACTTTAAGTCACCATGGAAAAAATTTTAAATATGCTATGAACGTAAGTCAGAACATTTTATATATATTTTATAAAGTAGACGTTAAATCAATTAAATCGCTTGAATACATTTGACAATAATATAAATTTAGGTTAATCATATACTATTTTTTGAATATATTTTTTGAAGTTGATTTGTTTTTTGATGCTCTGTTTCTTATATGCTTTCTTTTGTAAGTGTCCTATAGTCTACCATATAGAAACATTAAGCGTTCCACAGCATATTTACAGATCAATATAGATGTTACTTCAGAGGAAGATATTCTCCTTTATGCACTTTTCTCATACTCTATTTCAATATTAATTGATATGATTTTATCCTTCATTATATTAGGTATTCGCTATACTGAATGTTTACTGAATTTGTAATAATATACAATATTTTCTTTAGATAAGATTTATGAAATTAATATGATATATGAAATTTCTGCAGATTTATTTTAAATGAAGTACTATATAGGAAAAGATAAATTTCTGATGAATGTAGGTAAAGTAATAAAAAACGAATTTAATTTTTAAAACCATATAATAATAATTAGATCGGCGAAACATTAAAAAATGATGAGGAAATATGAAACGGATAAAAAATAGACATCATTTTTTATTTAGAGCAGTATCAACAGTGTGCTAATATATCTTAGTATAATTAATTAGTAATAAGCAATATACATAAGTTATAATAAGTAATATAAATAATAAGATATTCGTAATAATACAATATAATAATTGTTTTCTTTTAATAATGAATACATTTACTTATTCATGACATATTAGTCACAATGTTAAAATACATATTTATATTTATTTATTCAAGTAAAGTAAATTTATACCACAAAATATAATATTTAATATTATATATTATATAAATACATCTAAATACTGGCATAAACAAGAATAAGTAAACAAAAACAAATATCCATAAGAAAAAGCGCATATTTCGAATGATTCCAACGACTGTTGGTTTGCGATA